AGCCTGTCATCGTAAGGTCTGTTTTCCTGACCTCTGATCCTTCTGTCTGGTCATACACTGCATGCATGACTTTAGTCGCTCCATGCACTGCATTACATTTCTAATTGTCCCTTCTTATCATTTCCATGTCAAATCATAATATGTAACTTGTGGGCTAGTGTGTACCTACCCTGCAGGCCCTCTGTCATGCCTAATATCAGTGAATTGTAAACACCCACTGAAGACAGCAGAGTAAGGGTGTGACAAAAGGAATAATTTAAAGCCCCTGTGATAATGAAGGCTATGTGGTGCAGGGGATTAAATGAGGATTCACGGTCTTATGGATTTACTATACTTTCACATCTTCCTCTTCTGTCTGGTCATGCTGCCGAGTAAAGGAACAGAAGGATTTAGTTGACTTCTGCCAGCTAATCCTTCATTTGATGCATCTCTGCTTTAGTTGTGGGGAGCTGGGAACCCTGAGCAATTAGACCAAAGTAGCACCACGGGGAGCAGGGCTGATTTAGTCCCCTTGTGTGTACAGCAACATCAGGCTGCTTGATGCTTAGCAGCCATGAAGAACTGTGTTCAGGTCCCCAATCCAGGATAAAATGTAGAAGGAACATGCACCCAGCATAATTTTGTTTGTTATCTCCTTTTCCAGAACTGGTCTGGAATGAAGTGCCAATTCAAGCTGCTGCGCATGGCTGTTGCCTTGATCTGTAGTAAGTATTGCAATACACTTGGTAGACTCCTTCTGTTTTGCTTGCCTGTGTCATTAGTACTCATGTTAAACCAGGTACTGGGTTCTATCACTTTCTTAGTGGGAACTGATGGTTGGCATTCACAGCACAGAAACACAGCTGAGTGCGATTTTCCAAAGTGCTTAGCCAGGTTTGATGGGAGTTAAGAACCTAAATACTGAAGTCCAGACCAGATGTAAAAAGTCAGACAGATCTGCTGACTCACAGGGTTGGAGTTTAACCATTAGTCAATATTCATCATGCTAATTTGAGTGTTTGAGTATACAATAATTTCCTCAGCTGTTTTCCTAGCTAAAGTAGCAGCACAGGTAGCAGCTCTGCAGGACCTGCTGCATCCCCTCTGCAAAGGAAGTGGTGGTTTTGATGGAGGTTTATAGACACTTATTCAGCATTCCTCACCTGAGTAACTGATTGTGTAAAAAGCAAAAGCCTCATTCAGCTCTCATTCCCTCCTCCCCATCAAGGGCCAAAAAGCTATCCAGCTTCAAAAAGGGGCAAGAGCAAGCTAATGTTGCTGACAGCATCTGGCACCAAACTGTGCAGGTGACCAAGGCCAGGTTGATGGATCAGCAAAGGAAGCAAGTTCTGCAGCTGAGATCTCCGGCAGGGTCAGCTCTGGGGCCAAGGAATGGCTAGCTGAAAGCTGCTGCCAAAACAGCATGTGATCATGTCAGGCAGCAGCAAATTCCCAGTGCTGGTTACACAGGGGTGGGAGTGGGGGCTCAACCAGAGAAGAAGCAAAGACGAAATGGATTGCCAACAGGCTGCCCGTGCAAAATATTTGTCCATTGCTACTTGAGTTGTTTTAGCTGCATGCTAGCCTCTGGCCTCCTGAAGTAACCCTATCAAATCACTCAAGCCTGGCAATGTAGGAGACCACAATCACAGCCATAGCTCCTGAGTTTTCAAGTCCCAGCTGGCTTTTCATAATCCCATGCACTTAAGGGTTAGCTGCGCTGTCCATCCATTTAAAAGCAAAAGTAGGCCTGTATCACTGGTATTATGCATCATTCCTATTATGTTGTCTATCAGTAACTGGCAGAACTTCAGGCAAAGCTATCTGGCTCCAACCACAATAGGACCAAGAACCTGCAGCTCACACACAGCATCACAGGATTTCAGAATCATGTGGAAAGTAGGAATTGTACATTAGAATTTCTCCTTGAAGCAGAGCTGTTTGGCAAAGTTAAAGCTACATCAGGGGTCATGCAAAAGGCATTCAAATTTATTCTAAATTATTCTCTGATGGTGACTTTTCAATTTGGTGGGGAGGGGGGGAGGGGGTCGTAACCCTTTAAAAAAATACTGCTGCCCTCAGCTCTGAAACTGAACTCCCAGAACAGGTGCAGCAGCATCCGTGCCAGCTCCTTGCCACTTGCCTGCTCTCTGCAGGGCTCATCTTGAGGGTGAGTGAGCTGTTCTACCTTGATCCAGTCCCGGGCTTGTCAGGTGAAGTCGCTAGCAGGGTCACTGTCTGTGGTAGGGCTACCTCCTAGCACCTAGACAAGGACCATTCTTTCTTCTCACCTAGTTTTATCTGGTGTCTGTTTTTGGTGACAGGCTCATGCCTGATTCAGACTAGTGACCTAGAGAAGAAGGGGGCTACCTTCATCTTCTTACAACTCACTTGACTCCCTCTAAGGTTTCTAAGTTTAATGTGAAAATAATTGCCAACCTTTCTGCCAAAGCACAAGCCACTAGGGATGCGTTTACTGTTGGAATTTGGGAAAATGAACTAGGAGTGCAGAGGGTAAGCTGATTCACCTGACTTAGGAGCAAGTTGGTAGAGAGGAACTAACAAGTGCCAACTGGACCTAATGAAGAGGAAGCAAGGGACAGTGACAGAGGGAGAGACTGAACTCTCACAGAGTTGGAGGCCAGGGGGATAGAGGTGAAGTTTTGGCATGGCCCCATCCTGAAGGAAAGCAGAGATCCATGGTCAAGTTGTTTTCCAAATATATTTCTGTGGCCACCCCATCCATGCCAAGGGTTGCCTTGTCTTGCTCACAGGGAATATTAAATATGCAAAGCAAGAAGCCCCGTATAACACTAACTGCATGAAATTTAATTCTCTTTGACATTCATGTGAGATTGCTGGGACTGAAACGTCTGCCTCTAATGTTGTTTATTTTCATCTATTATATAACATACAGCACTGAATAGGTGATCAGCACTAAGAAACAGCAGAACATCCAAGCTAATAGGAAACAAAAACAGTGCTAAGAAACACCTGGTCAAAGAAAGAATATAAAACAGCACCTTTCTCTGCCTAGTTGCAGTGACACTAAATGTCCTGCATTTGAAGTAGCACAAGTGGATTGCCCAGATTTATCTCTAACTTCTCTCTTGCTTGCTGCATTGTGTACATTTTATTTGTGCGCATGCCATGCTATCCAGGAGCTAGTCGGATGTGAGAGCTGAGAAAGACAATGGCCTCATCTTTTTTTTTCTCTCTCTGTTCCAGTGAGCTTTGAATTTGGAAGGGCGGTGTGGCTGCGGTTCCACCCATCTGCATACCCTCCCTGCCCACACCCGAGTTTTGTTGCCCACTTGGGTGGTGTGGTGGTTGGAATCACATTAGGTGTAGTCATCCTAAGGAACTATGAGCAGAGACTCCAAGACCAGTCCTTATGGTGGATCTTCCTTTCCATTTATATCATCTTTGTGTTGTTTGCTATCTTCTGGAATATTTTTGCCTACAGCTTATTGGATCTGAAGCTACCTCCACCTCCTTGAGGGAACAGGATGAAGGATGTTGGAGAGCAAAAGACTTTCCAGCCACCAGCTCTGTTAAATGAATCAAGACTTAACGTTTATTTTTCTATGAAGCTTAGGGGGATGAGCTAACAGTCTTCTGAGAATGCACGGAGATGTCTGACACAGATGCCATCTGACTGTACTGTATGCTGAAGGAGACAATTTAAGCAATGACTTGACTGTAGAACTGGCCGGAGAAAAGTCAGGGCATGAGTCATACAGGTACTGTAACTTTCAGTCTGGCCCTGACCCCACAGCCTCTCCATTGTGGGTAATCCCATGAGGAAGGGCTGTGAGATAGGCCTGAGGTATGTAACTGGGCACTTACCACTCAGTTTATTAGCACATATGTTGACTTTGTGTTTGAGTTACCTAAGTACTTGAGGTGGTGCTGGACCTCTGGCCAGCTGCTTTGTGAAACTTCTGAACTGAACTGCGCAGTAAAAGAGCACACTTTGCTAACTCGAAACTCGCAGGAAACTCATGAGGCAGCTTCGATTTGGTTTGACTGTTCAACCATGCCACTGCCACTGTCTTATTACTTGAATGGTTGCTTAAGTATGTAGTTTATCTGTCATAAGCACCTTCCAAAAGGGATCAGTAGAACTAGGTCATCTGAGGTGTGGGAGGTTGGTCCGCAATTCAAGTTCAAACAAAATTGCACTAGAAGCATTGGATACTTTACAGTAGCTGCTAAAGAGATGCCTGGTTGGAGGTGGCTTTTACCTTCTGTGCATACTCCATTTGATTTGCACAACCAGTTGTAGTAAAC